TTATCAGTATATACTGACAGTGTACACTGATATATAATGTGAACTGGAATTCCAACAGCTGCTTAGCATCAAAGCTAATACATGTACTTTTATCTGCCCTCTGTAATACTAATGGAAATTCCTAGCAATATCAGTGTGATGGCCATGAGCTTTCCTCTTCCATTTATTCATTAAGTCACTGCGTGATTGTAATGGAACTCTTGCATACTCCATAATAGTAACGCAAATGCTGACGGTTTAACCACCCAGAGAAATATTGATCTGTGTGGTGAGTGTATACAGTATACAAGTATATGCTACAACACACACTGCATGATAGGAAAAATAAACCTCTAATCTTGTGTTTGGTTTAAAATAGTAACTTTCTGAGGTGTTTTCTATGGTAGCTTTTATGGTTTTATCAGCTGTTTCTGGGTATCACTTGAAATTGAGTTGAAAATAGCAGAAATATTTGATTTTTTGGCCATTTTCACTTGAAGGTTAGGGTTGCCAATACCATTATCAGTCTGCATGGGTTTTTACTAATCTTCTTTAATTGTTGGGTTGCCTAAACATACCATCATTCTTTGTTGTATGTTATTTGGAATAGGTAAAACTTATTTATTTGTGTGATGGATTCAATGGGGTATTTTATAGAGAGCCTGAGGATCATGGTTATAACAGATGGTGAGGTTTAATGACTTATACCACTTGACCATAATTAACCGTAAACGGTTCCAAGCATTATTCAATGTGTAGTGCATCAAAAGTAGATAGTTTTTTTATACAGTGGACCCGCGGTACGAACTTTTTTCATTCAGAGTATGTTCAGGTGCATAAGACAGACATTTTTCCATAGGAATATGTGAAGTAATTAGTCATTCAGACCCCAACATACTACGTTCAACGCATTACATAAATACATTACATATTGTCGCTTTGAGTATCGTTAGCGGGCACTGTATTTTCAAATATAACCCAAAAAAAAAAGTAGATCAAAGTTTTTTTACACATTTTCAAATAAAAAAAGCAAAAAGAAGATCTACTTTTTTTACATACTTTCAAATGTTGAAAAAACGTATATATACGTTTGGACCGTTTATGGGTTAATAGTGTGCGTTTACATATGCAACTGTTTCAACAGAACTCTTCAGCGCAAACATTTTCATATCGTGCATTAGTATGAATAATCAATAAAAGTGTAATGAACACTCATCAAAGCTCAATAATAACACATGTGGAGACAAATGAGATGAACTGGTCTGTATATTTCAATCACCTACTGAGGTCCTCTTCAGCAAATACAATATGGAAGAAAAACATGAATACAATAGGGCCCTACTTATGCAGCAAGTTAGGTTTCAGGCTACTGCTGGAAAGCAGAATGCCATTTTTTTCCACTTATAAATGCCAGATAACAAGTTTACACTAACATATATTAAGTTAGCAATAGAACTAGGCATTAAAAAACAATAAAAACTAAAATACACACACAATATACTCATTATTTACCTCAAAATATTTGTAGTCTTAATGTAGGGCAAAAGGTGAGTAGTATTTATTGTAACAAGTCAGGTGTGGTAGGTATGGTAGCCCTCCTGGCCACCCCGCCCACACATAATATACTAGATTGATAAAATGCATATACAGTACACTCATTACTTACCTTAAAATACTTGTAGCCTTAATGTAGGGGGAGAGGTAAGCGAGATAAAAATGAATAAATGAGAGAGAGAGAGAGAGAGAGAACGAGTAAAAGAACAGAGCTGCAAAGTACTATGTAAACAAACTCATTTGGTTATGGTTGATACACGTTCATACAAACACCTTATGTTGTGTACAAGTTGTCTCCACAGTGGTACAGTAGAATAAATAAAGAGCAACACTTCCATTCTCATGTAACATCATTTTTAGAAGGAATGATGCTTTGACACATTATTACAGAAGAATATATAAACAGCAACACTCCCATTCTCATGCAACACACCATTTTTAGAGTGAATGATGATGATATTGTTATTATAATCATAATAAAAAAGAAGCACTAAACCCACAAGGGTTGTGAATAGCTATAGATAGAGTGAAGGCATATGAAAGGAATATTTTTCTACAGTTATCCCCCAGTAACTGGTGTTTGACTAGAGAAAACATAATTCTTCCGACACTCCTACAAACTGCTTGGTAAACACATCTCATATTTTTATCAGTTTTTATACTGTGGGTGTATGTATCATGTTTATATATTAAATAGCGTGTTTATTATATAATTTTGAAAAAAAAAAAATCATAGATGGATTAATGGAAATGTCTATATTAACATAATATATAACATTTAATGTGCCCAAGAGATTATTATGTGGTGTCAAGAGTAGAGAGACTAGTGATTTTAATGTGTACCTGCACACCAGCACAGTGTGTAAGTATATTTAGGTACAGGTACACTTAAGTATAATTATCATAGAATGTACACATAAAATATGCAATAACTTTAAAACACTTGAGATGGAGAGATGTGCTCATGGAGAATGTAAACAAACCTGGTGGGCACACTGTATTAGAAAGAGGGGGAGCCGTATAGCAAGTTTTGGTCATAATTTGAAATCGTCATATTAGCGGAACACTGTAAGGCGAAATGCTGTAAAGCGGGGCCCTGCTGTATATAAGAAGGTTGCACCTCTCAGTAGTGCAGGTGAGTATGGAAGATAAGATCAGGGCATGGGAAGACAGGTCAGGGAGCAAATGGGTGTAGTGTCAGGTCTTGAAGCAGGTGACTGGAGCCAAACTTAAAATTTTAAGTTTGGTCAGCCAGGGTGTTGCTGCCATTGCCCCACTGATCTATCATAATCATCACAACCTGGCAGGTCTGGCATAGTTTGCAGGTACATTATTGGTTCAGATTCCTCTTGAAAACACTTACCTTTGTTCTGGCAATATTTCTCATATCTGTTGGCAGAAGAACAGAAAGGCACAATACAGTGACCGGAACAATACACGAATAACCCACACACAAGAGAGAGGAGGAGCTTATAACAACGTTTTTGTCCGACTTGGACCACTTACTGGTAATTTGTGTGTTGGCAGAAGGTTGAAGAACTTGGGCTATAGATGCTCAGTGTTCTCTAATTGTCATTGGATTTATTCTACACTTGATCCAGTATTTCTCACCCTTAGTAAGTGGTTACAGCAGTGTGTAAATTTCTGGTACAGAATATGCTACAACTCCTTCGCTTTTACATTAGTCAATCCAGCATGCAAAATTTGTTGGCGGATGTTGTAGAGATCTTTGAAATATTGTGCTTGAATATGTTTGAAATGCCAAAAAAAGCATTTTTCTTATAGACACCAGCTTAGCCCCTTGACTGTCGCAACCCCAAATCCTGAGGTGTCTCCTGGTGTCGCAAAATTTCAAAAAAAAAAAAAAAAAAAAAAAAAAAAAAAAATTCTTATGAAATGATAGAGAATCGTTTCCCGATTGTAATGACACCAAAAGAACGAAATTTGATGGAAAACTGATGGAATTACGCTCTCGTGAAGTTAATGACCTTGGCGATATTTATGAATCGGCGATTTCACCCAATTTGAGCCCTATTTTCAGCTAATTCCATTGTTCCAGTCGACCAAACTCATAGCCATTTCTTTAGAACTCCATTTTTTCTATCGATTGAGTACAATAAACTTCCCATTTACTGATTTCAACTACCCAATAACGTGGTCAGAAATTGGCAATTTGGCCAATTTCACGAAAATTAAAAAATATGGTAGTTTCAAAATAGGGTCCAGAATGAACAGTGCAGACATTCCTGGCTCAAAAATAAAATATTTTTTTTGTTCATCAGTCACGTCTCCAAGCCCCTCTGATATTACTCTTGCTTTCTATTTTGAATTTTTATTCAAACAAAAAATAGAAGATTTACTGTTTGCAGACTACTGCAATAATGTAATAACTGTATAAATAATGTCAACCCATTCATGACTGCATATTAGAATGGCTAGTTGGACATTTATTGGAAAATGTTTACTTTTGAACATCGGCAAAAATCAAACATTTCCCGTACTTTGAGCTCCATTTCCAGGTTCTTTTCATAGTAAAACCAATCAAAATCACCTCTATTTCTATAATATGTTTTCCATTTTATCAAATGAGATCAAGAAAACAAGAATACAACCATAAATACTATACAAAAATAGACCACAAACTCAGCATTTTAATTAAAAGAAACGGTCGGAGTTTTTTTTTTTTCTCATTATGCACTGCGTGCTGCAGGTTTTTTTTTATATGGTGCACACTGACCACACAGACCCATTCTCTCACATGTTGGCCTACCAGCTTTCTCCTGCTTGATTTGAAGCCGCTAGAATTTATGAGTATATATACGTCAAAAACGGTGGCCCATAAGACGTATATATACGACCGAAACAGTCAAAGGGTTAATAATGGAGAGAAAACAAGACAGCACACCTAATGATGCTTCACCTTACTGATCACACATATGCATATCAGATACTGTGTCATATTGGTGATTATATACTCTGTACTCAGCTATTTGTACTCACCTATTTGTGGTTGCAGGGATCGAGTCCTAGCTCCTGGCCCCTGCCTCTTCACTGGTTGCTACTGGGTCCTCTCTCTCCCTGTTCCATGAGCTTTATTAAACCTCGTCTTAAAACTATGTATGGTTCCTGCCTCTGTGTGTGTGCATCCATGCATGCATGCATGCAAATTATTTGTTAGTACTCGGAACGACATGAAAGACAGCCCGAGGAAGTATGGTACTGAGATCGAATATTCAGTATGCTGAGTGGAATTCCTACAGAATAGTTATGAGTTTTTTGAGAAGTCGAACTGTGTTTCACCATTTGTGAAATATGCAGTACCTGATGACACAGGTATGGCTCAATGAAGGAAATGAGTGATATACTAATGAATTTAGTAAAATGGTGCAGTGACTTCCATTTAGAAAGGAAATCATAATTTTAGTTGATTTTAAATAAATCATATGTAAGACTGCTATCTCTTACAGGTATATGTGGATGATGAAAGGAGAGATCAAAAGGGAGCATGGGGGCCATGGGAGATGCAGAATACTGTTAAGAAAAACTTCGACTGTCCTATTTGTTGCCAGAGTTTTGGCAGCAGTTCTCTTTTGCTTGTTCATATTCGGAAACACACCAAGAAACCATATTTGTGCACACACTGCCCCAAAAGTTTTATGTACAATTCCATCCTTAAAGTTCACTTACGGACACATACAGGAGAGAAACCCTTTTCTTGCCCTCATTGTGATTACAGAAGCTCTCAAAGTGGTGCTCTGAGAACTCATATGCGAACTCATTCCAAAGAACATTATTATACTTGCTCTGAATGTTCCTATAAGTTCATTAAGTTCAGCAGTCTCAAGCGACATATAGCTACACAACACTTATAGTTTTACTGAAATGACTAACAAATGGCACACTTCTCTATTTTAATGTAACATGTTTATGTAAATAACAAAGTATAAATGAATAGCATTAAGAGGAATCTCACTCTTCAGACTATTCAAAGGCACTAGTTTTGGGTGAACTGATCACCTTAAAATGCATTAAACTAATACACAGTATATTAAAGTGCAACATTTAGGAAAAGACTGAAGGGGGGAAATAAACATTTTATTTCCCAAAACGTGCAGAATTGTTACAAAATTTTGGTGACTTATTTCATACATTATAAAATGTGTGTGTTAAAGTTAGATATTTTTAATGCTAGGCATATAATTAGTGTAAAGACATGATTAATAAATATACTATAATGTGAGAGTCAGTTGTACTGTACAATATAGGAGAGACTCACATATTGCATGGGTTACATTCAAAATACAGCACTGTATATAATATTGCAATACATAAAGTGAAGAACATACAGGACAATAGGGCTAGGTTTTAAAGACCCCTCAAAAAGCAAATAAGTTATTTTTTTAAATTTTTTAATTCTTCAAATATGCAGCTGTCATTGCCTACTGGCCCATATATCTGTCCAACCTACTTTCAAGGTTAGCTGCTTGGATAGCTTTAAATAATGGGTTGGATATACAGTATATATATATAAGCGAGATGGATTTGCTATGAGAAGTACCTGCCTAGTTGAGTAGGAATACTGCCCTGCTCCTCTATTTTTATGTTTTAACATTTTCATCTGTTAAGCACATAAGAGTACTTCAGTAGGCCTACTGCAGTACTCTTATGTTAAGTGCATGAGAGTACTGCAGTAGGCCTACTGGCTAATAAATACTGTGCAGGTCCTAATCAAATACAGCCCTTCTAACTCATATCTGTCCAACTTGTGTTTAAAGCTACCCAAGCTGTTAGCATTAAAAATAAGTTGGGCAAATATAGATGTGAGATGGGTTGGGTGTGAGAAGGATCTGCCTATCATTAGTCAGTAAGCCTACTGCAGTGCTCCTCAGTTTTCGTATTTTAATGATATACAGTAGTTTCACCCCTCAAGGGAGGTTCCTAGAAGCTGGTGAGAGGCTCTTGATCTAGGGAATTGATCTGTACTCCAGTTCCCTGAATCGAGCCTGAATACCTTCCATCCTCCCCCCTCCACATGCACTGTGTGATCCTACAGGTTTAGCAGTTTAGCACTCCCCCATAATTATAATTATAATCAGTAGTTTCATTTGGGTTGGTCCTGCACCAGGAAGCCCTGGTGAAAGGGGTGGATGTGGGCCTGTACAATACCTGCACAAATACTATATGCAGCAGCCAGTATTAGCTACCACCATCACCTTTCACTCCTTTGATAAATGAAACACTTGTACAACATTTGGGTATGTTCTGGAAACGTTTCACCACACAGTGGCTTCTTCAGTCAACCTTTTTCTACATTGGGCTGAAGAAGCCACCATGTGACAGAAAGTTTCCAGAATAAAGATATCCAGATGTTGCACAAGTTTCTCATTTATCACCTTGTTGGCTTTATAAACCATTGATTCACACCTTTCACCACTGCCAACATCAGTAAAAATAAGCCACACTTCCTTACCAGATGTACCAGTGGTTGTTGTTGCTTACTGATATGCAAGTGTGCATCAAGGGTTAATGTAGCCTTGTACAATACATATACAAATGAGGCAGGTACTATGGCCTACCACTGTCCCTGTCAACTTGGGTAAAAGTAAGCCATAGTTCCTTACCAAATCATGCCAAACATATCATGACCTCACTGCCCATATACCAAACATACTTAAAACAAATGTGTATACACCTTCCTTGGTAATTGGTACCAACAAGTGGTTTAAAAAGGCAGTGATCAAGGACAGGTGATCAGGGTCTCGGGACCAACACATTTTCTAATAACTGTGTCTTAGTGTTTGCTCACATGTCTTTTTAAACTAAAGATGAATACACTTGAGAAGGTAATAACCAAGAAAAATATAGTACTGCAGTGTGATAATAAAGTGGTGTGGGAGTTGCTGTCATTCTTGGAGGTTTATAGAATAACCTAAGCTTACGCTGTATTACTCCTCATTTTAGTCAGTTGCCAACTTTTCCAAGGTTGTAGAAATCTCTAAGTAGAAACGTTTTCACAACTTATGCCTTTTAACCCTTAAACTGTCCAAACGTAGATTTACGTTCATGTGCGTAGCGCTCTGACCTTGATTTTCCCCATTTGAAAGCATGTAAAAAAAAACGTAGATCTACATTCGGAGCCCCCCAGCACATGGACGTAGATCAGTGTTTGGACTGTTTAAGTGTTAAAAACTTTACGGCTCAAATACCCTTCAATTTCCTGCTGTGTTTACACTTGAGGAAAAAAAATTAGTAGGCATATACTGTATATAAAAACATGATATGTCAGTGTGTGAAATGTAAGATTCTACTGTATATTAAAAATGCAGTGTTTTTATGAAGAAATAGTAATACAGTAGATTCTTGATTACCATGGTAGTTACATTCCTGAAAACTCAGTGCAAGACAAAACAGTGTTAAACTGAAGAACTTATGGGAAAAATAGGGTTACATTCCTTGTACTCCCAAAAATGACAAACAAATTTCTTTTTTAAGGTCTCCAAATTGTAAAAAATAAAAATGATAATGCAGTTGTAGTTCATTGTTGTGATATATAATGTTTAATGCATTGCTTAAGCCTACAAATGTTACAGAAATAATATTTTTTACCTTATATTGTGGTTGTTGCTATATGTCAATGATTCTGAAGGGTAAAGAGGGATGCTGTGGCACTACTGGACTGCAGTGGAAGGTTGTGGATTGTTTGCTGAGGTGGATGGTTGAGGCTTTGGAATTAAAGTCAATGGTTGTACTGGAGTAGTCAGAAATTTTGTACTTGTGCAAAAATATGACAGGCTATTATCTGTTATCACTTGCATTTTTTTTTTTCAACATGATGGCCATCTCCCACTGAGGCAGGGTAACTCAAAAAGGAAAGAAACACTTTCACCATCACTCAACACTTACATTAACACTTACACACAAAATCACTGTCTTTGCAGAGGTATCCAGACATGACAGTTTAGATGTCAGTCCTAACAGCCAATATCTCAAACCCCTTCTTTAAAGTGCAGGCATTGTACATCCCACCTCCAGGACTCAAGTCTAACTAACCAGTTTCCCTGAATCCCTTCACAAAATATTACCCTGCTCACACTCCAACAGCTCATCAGGTCCCAAAAACCATTTGTCTCCATTCACTCCTATCTAACATGCTCACACATGCCTGCTGCATGTCCAAGCCTCTTGCACACAAAACCTCTTTTATCCCCTCCCTCCATCCTTTCCTAGGATGACCCCTACCCCTCCTATTTTGCTCCATCTTCTCTAAATGATGAAACCACCTCAATAACCCATCTGAACAATACTTTTAGTAACTCCACACCTCCTAATTTCCACATTGCAAATTCTCTGCATAATATTTACACCACATGGTGCCCTTAGACACATCTCCATTGCCTCCAGCCTCTTTCTTGCTGCAGCATTCACAACCTGTGTTTCACACCCATATAAGAGTGTTGGTAGTATCACTATACTCTCATACATTCCCTCCATGGATAACATTTTTTGCCTCCACAGATCCCTCAATGCACCACTCACCTGTTTTCCTTTATCAATTCTATGGTTTACCTCATCCTTCATAAACCCATCTGCTGACATATCTACTCCCGAATATCTGAACACATTCACTTCTTCCATACTCTCTCCCTCCGAAGTGATATCCAATTCTTCTGTACCTAACTCGTTTGATGCCCTCTTCACCTTACTCTTATCTATGTTGAAAGTGAACACTTGCATATATCAGTAAAAAATACCATATTTTACCAGCTAAGACATGATTTTTACTAAATAAATGTGTCCAGAGTAATACCAACCATAATATACATGTCATAAAATGGTAAGTTATTATCATATTTTGTTTTTCTTGGTATTATTCTACCCAGTGAAATGTACTCTTTTAATTCTTTCACTGTCTTGTATGTAGCTCTGTGTTATTGATGCAAAGGTAGCTTACATAGACCTGTGTTTTGAGTTCAGCTCCCTCAGATAATAAGTGGCAGATTTTTGCCTAGATGTGTGAGATTTAGTCAGTGTGGTGAGTGAGCACAGTATAAGAAACATTTGGCCCCTTGCAGTGCATGATGGGAAATGCAAACCTAGGATTTTTTTTTTTTTTGTATCAATTGATAGAATAGAAGACACACAGTACTGCTAAAATGGAGAGGAAATTGGGTTGGTTTCAGGGCTGGAGGTAACATAAAATTGGGTTCAAAGTAGAAGAAATATTCAATTTTTTCCATTTTTTTTTTTTGGAGGAACATTAAGGCCTCCCCTAAACCCCCTGATCGGTTTTATGTTTTTTTTGCTAGGTCTGCTTCAGTTATTGGGAACCCAATAAAGATAAAGATTTTATTTCTTTGCTAAGGTTACAAAGTATAAGTACAATTTTGATTTGTTAAGTACAAAGAAAGCCACTATCATGCTGGGGCATTTCAGGCAGACTAATCCTAATACAGTATTTAAAAACAACTTAAGTCTAGACAGAATAAGAGTGGTTATCTTTTTAATTATTAATTATTTTATCTTAATACTAGTGCAAGGTAGTCAAAGTTGAAGGTTTATAAGAATAATAATCATGATGTTGCACATAAATAACAGTATTACAAGTAATGGTTCAAGCAGTGCCATTTTAATTATAAGTTGTTTTAATGGACTAGGGGTCATATAATATTTGGGAGAGTTACTTCAAACTGGTTAGATGTTGTTTTGGTTGGTTTGATTTTTAACCCTTTCACTGTTGGTGCCATAGTATTACGGCTTGCAAGCCAGTGTCAGTTCTGTAATATTACGCCAAAATTCTAGCGGCTTCAGATCTAGCGGGAGAAAGCTGGTAGACCTACATGTGAGAGAATGGGTTTGCATGCTCAATGTGTACAGTATAAAAAAAATCGGGGAGCCAATGGTGCATTATGGGAATGCCATTTCAGTGGTCCTTGTTCACCATGCCTTGCAGTAAGAAATACCTAACTCCCCGGTGAATTGGGATTCTTCTCTTCCCAAGTGGTAGTTCTAACACAGATGGAGGTGCCAGTGAAGATGAATTTCATGGTTTTGAGGAGTTTGTGACCAAAAGCAATACCCAGGATACCAGAAATAGCACTGAAAACCCAGACGACCATCAATCTTTCACCTCTGGTGCTGGGTCATCTTGTTCATGTTCAGTTATACCACAGCAAAAGAGGAAACTCATATTTTCCCATGTCTCAGAGAATAAGTAAGTAAATAAGTTTATTCAGGTATACACAAATGCAGTTACATAGATTATCATACATAGCAGCATATGTGTAGAGAACCCTGGATAACCCAAAAAAGTCAAAGTGACTTATTTCCATGTGGGTGGTGGGGAAGACAGAATGGTTGATGGGGAAGACAGCATAGTTGGTGGGGAAGACAGCATGGTTGGTGGGGAAGACAGCATGGTTAGTGGGGAAGATGGCATGGTTAATGGGAAAGACGGTATGGGTAATGTTACAATTGGGATGGATAATATACATGCCGCAGCAGGTGGTGGTGGTGGTGTGAAGCGTCATGTAGCACCAGCAGCACCCCAGGCTGGTAGCCATGCTGCTGACTCAGCACATCCACAACAAAGGCCACCTTGAACCACCCACACCCCACAACAACCTGCACAACCACAACCACAATAACTCACCCACAAAAATGCAGAGACAGTTGTTTTATGTGTGAGAGGTGTAAAACAGCACTCTGCATAACACCACGTTTCAAAGAGTTCCACAAGCTGCAGCACTTCTAGGAACGTGTCCAGTGACTCTATACGTGTACATATATATACAGTGGACCCCCGCATAACGATTACCTCCGAATGCGACCAATTATGTAAGTGTATTTATGTAAGTGCGTTTGTACGTGTATGTTTGGGGGTCTGAAATGGACTAATCTACTTCACAATATTTCTTATGGGAATAAATTCGGTCAGTACTGGCACCTGAACATACTTATGGAGTGAAAAAATATCGTTAACCGGGGGTCCACTGTATATTATAGAACAATAGTAATAAATAACTTTTTTAATTGCTGGTTTGTGTAAACAAGTTTTGTAAACATTATAATGGTAATATTTGTGTGGTGATTGTGTTGCAAACAATGAGTGGATATATATACAGTGTGCATTACAGTGGACCCTCCAATTAACCCGTTCCAGACACCCAAAAGTATTAAACAAAATAATTTTTTTTACATGAAATATACATTTCCCTACACAGAAAACAATGAGACATGCAGAATAAACAATACTAAAATGACACTTTCCTTTATTGAAGCCTTATTAATGAGTGATGAGACAGGAGGAGGGGAGAGGATGGAGGTGTACTATAAAGACTTCAGGTACCCAGTCCTTTTCTGGGGTTACTTCCCTTCTTTGTTTTTTAATGCCACTAGGACTAGCTTGAGAGTCACTGCACACCTGTGGCACTAAATATCTGTCCAGAGAGCTCTGTTTCTGGCATCTCTTTAAAATTTCCCTAAAATGGGACACAACATTGTCACTGTAGATGTTGCCAGCATGGCCTGCAACAGCTGTGTCAGGGTGATGTTCATCCATAAATGTTTGCACATAAGAAGCCAGGAAGACTGCAGCAGGCCTGTTGGCCCATACTAGGCAGGTCCTTCACAAACCATCCCACTAACAAAATCATATTTGCCCAACCCAATTTTCAATGCTTCCCAAGCAATAAGCTTTGATAATTCTGTTCACTCATGTGCAGGTCCCACTCAAATCAAATCATGTGTGTGGGGAAGTACCCTGGCTGGTGTGTGGGTAAATACCCTGGTTGGTATGTGGGGAAGTACCCTGGCTGGTGTGTGGGGAAGTACCCTGGCTGTCATGTGAGGAAGTACCCTGGCTGGTATGTGGGGAAGTACCCTGGCTGGTATGTGGGGAAGTACCCTGGCTTGTGTGTGGGGAAATACCCTGGCTGGTGTGCAGGGAAGTACCCTGGCTAGTGTGTGGGGAAGTACCCTGGCTGGTGTTCCACCATCACTACCACCCTCTACCACCACCACTTTCATATCTTTCTACCAACTTTTTCTTGAATTCTATAGTGTTTCTCACCCTCTTTACCAAAGGGCTGGCACTAGAAACTTCCTTTGGGCCCATGATGGCTTATTTAGCAGTTACAAGCACTAAAGCTGTATAGCCCTTGTGGCTTAGCGCTTCTTTTTTATTATAATAATAATAATAATACAAGCACTAAAAGCAATGGAATAATACAAAATGTATCGCATGTATGCTTGGAATTGTCCTCACTGGCTTGTAAACAATGGCACACTGGCCGGGCCACTCAGGCCACGCGGACACGTTCGGGATGAAGGACTTTAACCGAGTTCTTTGTCGTTAACTGAGCCAATATTTTGACGCAAAAGTGTGTCGTTATCCAATTTTTACATTATGAGATGTCGTCATAAACTGAGGGTCCACTGTATATTGGTCTTGCAGACCACAAAAGTTACTTGAAAAAATAAAATACAGTGGTACCTCGAGTTTTGAACATTATTTAAGTGTATTTTTGGGGGTCTGAAACAGACTAATCTAATTTACATTATTCCTTATGGGAACAGATTCCTTCGGTATCGGCACACTAACAGCCACCTAGAACGAATTAAGTTCGTAACTTGAAAAATAGAAAAAATAGAATAAAAGTGTAAATAATATTACCAAGCAAGCGCTATTTGCCGATGTTGCCATTAGCGGTTCATTTTCTGTCAACTTCACGCCTCTGTATCTTGGTACCTACTGATGACAATTTTTTTTTCTTTTATAACACTCAAAAAATCTTTCTTAACATTTTGGTAAGAAATAATTTTTATTTTTTGGAGGGGAATATTTTTCAAAAGAGCAAATTTGTGAGCAGGGCTCTCAATAGTAAAAGGGTTAATAGATGCACAGCTGTATAAAATAAACTCAGTAATATTTATATTATACTGAATCTCCCCTTGAAACCTCTGAGACAGTAAATAAATTGCCACAAATTAATTTTTCTTGACTATAGAAACATGTAACCAGAAAAATCTGTAGCTCGCTAGCTAAGTTTATTATCTTACTGATAACCACCTTGGCTTACTATACCTATCCCCTCACTTCTAAAAGAGAGGTTACTTCAGTAATTATGTCGCTGAAAAATGAAGCAGGAAACAAAGCGAATATACTATCACTAATATACTGTGCAAAAAAAGCTGCTTATGTACTCTCACCATCTATTGCATCATTGTTCAATAAATCAGTCGAAACTAAAAGTTTAATATACTTAAGCTAGCAATGATACACCAATTTACAAAAGTGGTGACACAATAGAAGTCAGTAATTACATGCCAATTTCTAATTTGCCATTACTATAAACAAATTTTGAAATAGTAATATATGTATTCTGTATACAAATTTTTTATTTATTTTTTTATTATCACACTGGCCGATTCCCACCAAGGCAGGGTGGCCCGAAAAAGAAAAACTTTCACCATCATTCACTCCATCACTGTCTTGCCAGAAGGGTGCTTTACACTACAGTTTTTAAACTGCAACATTAACACCCCTCCTTCAGAGTGCAGGCACTGTACTTCCCATCTCCAGGACTCAAGTCCGGCCTGCCGGTTTCCCTGAATCCCTTCATAAATGTTACTTTGCTCACACTCCAACAGCACGTCAAGTATTAAAAACCATTTGTCTCCATTCACTCCTATCAAACACGCTCATGCATGCCTGCTGGAAGTCGAAGCCCCTCGCACACAAAACCTCCTTTACCCCCTCCCTCCAACCCTTCCTAGGCCGACCCCTACCCCGCCTTCCTTCCACTACAGACTGATACACTCTTGAAGTCATTCTGTTTCGCTCCATTCTCTCTACATGTCCGAACCACCTCAACAACCCTTCCTCAGCCCTCTGGACAACAGTTTTGGTAATCCCGCACCTCCTCCTAACTTCCAAACTACGAATTCTCTGCATTATATTCACACCACACATTGCCCTGAGACACGACATCTCCACTGCCTCCAGCCTTCTCCTCGCTGCAACATTCATCACCCACGCTTCACACCCATATAAGAGCGTTGGTAAAACTATACTCTCATACATTCCCCTCTTTGCCTCCAAGGACAAAGTTCTTTGTCTCCACAGACTCCTAAGTGCACCACTCACTCTTTTTCCCTCATCAATTCTATGATTCACCTCACCTTTCATAGACCCATCCGCTGACACGTCCACTCCCAAATATCTGAATACGTTCACCTCCTCCATACTCTCTCCCTCCAATCTGATATTCAATCTTTCATCACCTAATCTTTTTGTTATCCTCATAACCTTACTCTTTCCTGTATTCACCTTTAATTTTCTTCTTTTGCACACCCTACCAAATTCATCCACCAATCTCTGCAACTTCTCTTCAGAATCTCCCAAGAGCACAGTGTCATCAGCAAAGAGCAGCTGTGACAACTCCCACTTTGTGTGTGATTCTTTATCTTTTAACTCCACGCCTCTTGCCAAGACCCTCGCATTTACTTCTCTTACAACCCCATCTATAAATATATTAAACAACCACGGTGACATCACACATCCTTGTCTAAGGCCTACTTTTACTGGGAAAAAATTTCCCTCTTTCCTACATACTCTAACTGAGCCTCACTATCCTCGTAAAAACTCTTCACTGCTTTCAGTAACCTACCTCCTACACCATACACTTGCAACATCTGCCACATTGCCCCCCTATCCACCCTGTCATACGCCTTTTCCAAATCCATAAATGCCACAAAGACCTCTTTAGCCTTATCTAAATACTGTTCACTTATATGTTTCACTGTAAACACCTGGTCCACACACCCCCTACCTTTCCTAAAGCCTCCTTGTTCATCTGCTATCCTATTCTCCGTCTTACTCTTAATTCTTTCAATTATAACTCTACCATACACTTTACCAGGTACACTCAACAGACTTATCCCCCTATAATTTTTGCACTCTCTTTTGTCCCCTTTGCCTTTATACAAAGGAACTATGCATGCTCTCTGCCAATCCCTAGGTACCTTACCCTCTTCCATACATTTATTAAATAATTGCACCAACCACTCCAAAACTATATCCCACCTGCTTTTAACATTTCTATCTTTATCCCATCAATCCCGGCTGCCTTACCCCCTTTCATTTTACCTACTGCCTCACGAACTTCCCCCACACTCACAACTGGCTCTTCCTCACTCCTACAAGATGTTATTCCTCCTTGCCCTATACACGAAATCACAGCTTCCCTATCTTCATCAACATTTAACAATTCCTCAAAATATTCCCTCCATCTTCCCAATACCTCTAACTCTCTCATTTAATAACTCTCCTCTCCTATTTTTAACTGACAAATCCATTTGTTCTCTAGGCTTTCTTAACTTGTTAATCTCACTCCAAAACTTTTTCTTATTTTCAACAAAATTTGTTGATAACATCTCACCCACTCTCTCATTTGCTCTCTTTTTACATTGCTTCACCACTCTCTTAACTTCTCTCTTTTTCTCCATATACTCTTCCCTCCTTGCATCACTTCTACTTTGTAAAAACTTCTCATATGCTAACTTTTTCTCCCTTACTACTCTCTTTACATCATCATTCCACCAATCGCTCCTCTTCCCTCCTGCACCCACTTTCCTGTAACCACAAACTTCTGCAGAACACTCTAACACTACATTTTTAAACCTACCCCATACCTCTTCGACCCCATTGCCTATGCTCTCATTAGCCCATCTATCCTCCAATAGTTTTTATATCTTCCCCTAACTGCCTCCTCTTTTAGTTTTATAAACCTTCACCTCTCTCTTCCCTGATGCTTCTATTCTCCTTGTATCCCATCTACCTTTTACTCTCAGTGTAGCTACAACTAGAAAGTGATCTGATATATCTGTGGCCCCTCTATAAACATGTACATCCTGAAGTCTACTCAACAGTCTTTTATCTACCAATACATAATCCAACAAACTACTGTCATTTCGCCCTACATCATATCTTGTATACTTATTTATCCTCTTTTTCTTAAAATATGTATTACCTATAACTAAACCCCTTTCTATACAAAGTTCAATCAAAGGGCTCCCATTATCATTTACACCCGGCACCCCAAACTTACCTACCACACCCTCTCTAAAAGTTTCTCCTACTTTAGCATTCAAGTCCCCTACCACAATTACTCTCTCACTTGGTTCAAAGGCTCCTATACATTCACTTAACATCTCCCCCAAAATCTCTCTCTCTCCTCTGCATTCCTCTCTTCTCCAGGTGCATACACGCTTATTATGACCCACTTCTCGCATCCAACCTTTACTTTAATCCACATAATTCTTGAATTTACACATTCATATTCTCTTTTCTCCTTCCATAACTGATCATTTAACATTACTGCTACCCCTTCCTTTGCTCTAACTCTCTCAGATACTCCAGATTTAATCCCATTTATTTCCCCCCACTGAAACTCTCCTACCCCCTTCAGCTTTGTTTCGCTTAGGGCCAGGACATCCAACTTCTTTTCATTCATAACATCAGCAATCATCTGTTTCTTGTCATCCGCACTACATCCACGCACATTTAAGCAACCCAGTTTTATAAAATTTTTCTTCTTCTCTTTTTTTAGTAATTGTATACAGGAGAAGGGGTTACTAGCCCATTGCTCCCGGCATTTTAGTCACCTCATACGACACGCATGGCTTACGGAGGAAAGATTCTTTTCCACTTCCCCATGGACAATAGAAGAAATAAAAAAGAACAAGAGCTATTTAGAAAATGGAGAAAAACCTAGATGTATGTATATATATATATATGCATGTGCGTGTCTGTGAAGTGTGACCAAAGTGTAAGTAGGAGTAGCAAGATATCCCTGTTATCTTAGCGTGTTTATGAGACAGAAAAAGAAAAAGAAAACCAGCAATCCTACCATCATGCAAAACAGTTACAGGTTTTTGTTTCACAGTCATCTGGCAGGACGGTAGTACTTCCCTGGGTGGTTGCTGTCTACCAACCTACTACCTATATACAATATACCTGTATACAAATATGTACATGAATTCATAACTAAACAAAATATCCTGAACCATCGTCTGTTTGGCTTCAGGCTGGAATGAAGCACCAAAGATGAAATAGTTAAAAAAAAGCCTTCAGTGTGGTAGACCACAGCATCGTACTGCTCAGGTTAAAACACTATGGAGTCAGAGGACATGCTCTCTCATACATGAAAGCTTACCTTAGCAACAGCATGTGACCATTTATGATTACTCAGTCAACATACGAGTTCCACAGGGCAGTGTTTTAGGTCCTTTGCTATTCCTTATTCATGTCAACAACCTTTCTAGTGCTTCACAGGAACTTAAAGCAATTCTGTTTGCAGATGACAAATTTTGTCATTTCAAATGCAGATCTGCTTTGGTTAACAACACAGCAAATGTCAGACTTGAAAAATTATTGACATGGATTACAGTTAACAAACACACTCCAATATTTGATTAGAATCAAGTAGTACGAATGTAAGTTTTAGGATCAATATGCCTGAAATGTTCTGCATAATGAGTGGCTTTTTTTTGAGCAGGCATTTGTATCAAATTGCATTTGTATCATAACTGTATCAAAACTATAATCAATTGAAATGCAACTCAACCATTGTAACTTCTTGGCTTCTTTTAAGAAATAATGATTCTACTGTAATTAGTCAAGTTTTCACACCTCAGAAAATAATACTCAGCAACTCATCATGTCCAGGGAAAGAATGCATTTCTCCTTTAAACACTGAAAGCACCATTAACAAGGTAGGATGAAAAGACACATTAAATAGCATAAGCCTTTGTTATATTGAATTTTGCTCAAGGAAATTTTATGAGGCAGTACAGAAAATGTGTAATCTACTTACATAGACTGTTCAGTCAGGTGAAGAGTGTAGTGAGGACTTGGGTTATGCGACTTGGGCTTCTGAATGGATGAGATCACATGCTGGGAGGTGACGAATATAGGTGAGAGGTTTTGTGAGTGTGACTGTATGGTGGTTGATGAATGCTACTTCCATACACTTTCCTAGCCCTTTCATTCTTGTTTAATAAGTCTTGAGCTCAGTCTCAGACCATAAGGTGTGTAAATCTGTCCCTATCTATCATACATGCATTATATTGATGTGTGTTCTACAGTCATGTTTATTTTTCTGAATCATGTCTTGAAATTACAGGCTGTCTTAACAGTCTATAAAATTTACTGAATCCATTGCAAGGAATGGTGTCAACTCTGGCTGTGTTGCTAGATTTAGTGTGGATACGAGATCTAATGATGTCCTTCATGGTTTTTGATGAAACCACAGCCATGTCAATTTGAACTTTATGAAGAATGATTGCAACTGAAATGGCAGTGTCACTGATGGGAAGAATCACATGTCCATTGACTTCTGTGTTTTCCCTGGGGGTTGCCAGGATATGTTCCTTCTACAATAATGTACTGGAGGAACTTCAGTCTAATAAAGTTGTTGGAAATATGGATGTATTCATTCTCTTAGTAATCAGCATTATAAACTCTGAGAGAGAGAGAGTAAATTAGCTGGTACTGCACAGAGAGGCAAACCCATGGCCATACCAAATTTATGTATGAAGAAATTAACTGCCAGCACATGGCCTCACCCTTGAAACAGCCCAGGTCCTCACCTGACTAAATGGCCTATATAAGGAGAAGTTAGTATGTTTTCTGTAAAATTTAATGATTTCCTCAAAATGGCAGTATAATAGGTATAATAAGGTTTATGTTGTTTTATGTCTTTTCATCAACTTGTCAGCTCACAACTTCTTCCATCAACTAACAGACTCGTAACTATAATTGAGCATAATAAGTATACATTATTAATTTAAAAAGTTTATATTAAACATTTTGCTATGCCTATTTATTTATTTTTTTGCTATTTTCAAATCTGTCCTTGATAATGGAGCCATAATAATTCCAACTTATCATTTTTGGAGGATGTGATATGTAATTTTCATGAACTGTGAATTTTTGACATACACAGACACACACAGACACACACACAGACACACACACACAAACACACACATGCACACACGCACACACACACACGCACACACACACACGCACACACACGCGCACACACGCACACACACGCGCACACACACGCACACACGCACACACACGCACACACACGCAGACACACGCACACACACACACACACACACACACACACACACACACA